CCAGACTGGTGGCACCCTCACCTTGTCACCTCCCACCTCATCCTGGGAGCACAGCTCCCCTTTAATCTTGGATTTGGGGGCTCTGGGACTTGCTGAGGGGGGATTCAGACCCTGCTGGGGATGGAAACAGCCCTGTCACTGTCCCTGGGAGGGGATGGAAACAGGAGGGACAGCAGGGACAGGGACTGCTCACCTGTGGGGCCCTGAGCCCCTCCAGCCTCCCAGAACCCTCCCCTCTCCCCTTGGGGCTGGCTGTGGGGTTCCTACATCCCCTTGCACCCCGTGATTGGCTCAGATCCCCCCAAAAAAGAGTTCCCAGTGCTCCCAGTCCCAGGATCTGCCTCGGTAAGGCCGAACTGCTCACAGCCCTGACCCTGTGCTGTAGGTGCTGCCCCTTGCCCCTCACCCTGGCATCAGGGCTGCTTGGCAAAGACCCCAAGGAGGTCTCCCTTTGCAGCCCAGGAGGGGACACACAGCCCTGAGCACCCCACTTTGCTCTCCATTTCTCCCACCCGGATGCAGAAGAAGGGACCAGCTGTGACGACCCACCCTTAAGGGGAAGGAATCCTGTTTTGGTGAAAACCCAGTTTTACTAATTCGTATATTCTGCATTAGGTGGGATAAGGCAGTACTTGAAAAAAGGTTTGTAAGAAGAAGGTGTTTCTGCTTTCAGCTGATTTTTCTGCTTGGAGATCCTGGTGATATTGCAGTTACCAGGAGCCCTTGCTGTTTGCAGGAGAGAAGGACCTCTGGCTAACCCACTCCTTACCTTCTGTGCGGGGTATTTGGGATCTCGAGGCTGATTTCAACCTGTTTGAACGTACCAACACATAAAATAAAGCAGCCAGTGCTTTAACCATCGAGTTAACATCAGATCTGGAAGGAAGCCTGGTTGACCCCAAGCCAGAGGGTCCCCACGGATCCATCCAGCCTGCACCTCCCACGCGCTGCTGGAGGTGTTTTGGGGACCCCTCCCGCACCTCCCACGTGCTGCTGGAGGTGTTTTGGGGGCCCCTCCCGCACCTCCCACGTGCTGCTGGAGGTGTTTTGGGGACCCCTCCCGCACCTCCCATCCCCTGCAGCACCCGGCGTTGTTCCATCTGCCCTGCCGGGACACGCTCTCCCCGCCGAGCACCCCGAGGGTGCCCGTCCCCCCGCCAGGCACCACATGATGCCGGTTCCTTCCCTCCTCCGGGGAGGGCCCGGACTCCTGCATTGGCTCCGGCGGGTTTCGCTGCC